CCAAGTTCAAATGCTAAAATAATCTTTGCCTTTTCTCCAACACAAACTATATCAAAATTTTTGTTTTCCTTTGCATAGGAACGGCCAAGTTTCAGCACTTTACCACAAACTCTTGTGTGCATTGCCCCACACAAGCCTCTATCAGAACTTACAGCCACTAATGTAGTATGTGGAACAGCTGCTTCCACTTTAAAATGAGACACAACATAAAAATGTTTTGCAGCTTCTCCGAGATGTCTGGATAACCTTAACATCTTTTCTGCCCTAGTAAATTTTGATGTTGATACTGATTTCATAGAAGATGTGATTTTCTGTATATTTTGAACTGCATGGATATGCTCTCTCATTTTTTTCATACCACCAGACATGTTGAATTATTGGAGTTAACTTGAGATGATACAAATAAATTACAATGAAATATATATATAAGTAAACAGAATTAGTGTCTTGACAGTCCAAACAATTTAGCAAAAGGCAGTTCGAAAGCTTTTCCTTTGCCTTTTAAATGTATATGTTTACATACCTAGGGTGAAATCCTTCACAAGAGCCACACTGACTTGACGATTCCTCTGAAAGCTAGATAATCCCAAAGTATTCGAACTTTCATTACGCACTATTCAAAATCACATTTTATAAAATGAATCGGCTTAGTTAATGTTACTAACAAAACGGTGTTAAGACCTACTTGTACAGCAAAGACAACAACAACACAAATAATACGAATTCCAGTTGGGTTTCAGGAATGCCAACCAAACAAGGTTCAAAACAATTAATTTTCAAGTAAATTAACAGTTTATTTTCAAAATAACCAGCTCTTCCATAATCTCACCCTTTGAAATTGAATAAAATACCACACCAAAAATTCCATCAATAAAAATTAATTAAAGAGGTAAATTAGTTAACACATATGGCAATAATTACATTATTCAAATAAAAAATGTAAATTTCTGGTATGGGAAGAAAATGTAAATGTAATATTTTTAAGAAATTTAAGTAATAATTAATGGGTACTGATGATGTTTTATTTCTTATTAGTGTGTCGCCCAGTGGTCGAAATTCATATATAAATACGTATATATATTGGGTTGGCAAATAAGTCCTTTCGGTTTTTAAGGGTGAAATAAAACTCAATGTACTATAGAAATAAAGTTTATTTTAATGGACAATATATTGTCCATTATTTAATCTGACATTTTCCCATCTTTCCCCTAACTGTATAATGCCATGTTCATAGAATGTCTGGAGTTTATTGTTAAAAAACTGATCCAATTGGTTTTTTATATCCTCTCCCTTTTGAAATTTATTTCCATTCATCGAGTTCTAAAGAGACTGGAATAAGTGGTAGTCACTTGGAGCTAGGTCTGGTGAATAGGGAGGTTGGGGTAAAGTTTTCATCGAAGGCTAAATAATTCATTGCAAGTGACCAATGAGGTGCGGTGCCTAGCGCTGTATTGTTGGAACACAACATCCTTCCGATTTGCTAGATCTGGGAATTTATTTTTAATTGATTGATCCAATCTTGTTAATTGTGAGTAGTATAGAGATGAATCAATTGTTTGCTTTGATGGCAATAGCTCATAGAAAACAATACGATTTACTATTAGTAATAAATACATCTCTAGACATATTTATTCTTTAGTTACAAATTGATGATCTCCTTAACAGTAATTCTGTCTACAGATAAACGTTCATTAGAACATTCTCACAAAATATTAGTTTAAGGTTCATCAAATGGATTGAAACATCCTTGAAATCCCACCACATAGAAAGCATTATCTTCTTTGAATGCAATCAAAGGTTTGACATTCTTCTAGGATCCCCACTACTAGGCTCCCAAGATTTTCTACGGACTACATTATTGTAAAATATCTATTTTACATCTCCTGTTACCAATCTTTTCAAAAATGGGTCGTTTCGTAAAGAATCACAAATAGAAATGCGTGTTGCCAAGTTGATTTCGGTTAGAGAGTGAGAGAACCAAACATTAAGCCTGGAAAAATAGCCGAATTCGACATAGTTTAATTCTAATCAGAGAGTGAACCGAATCACAGTCTGCTCCACGATAGCTTCTTACAGCTTGTATTGAGCTCTGATGTCTCTTGTTTACGAGCACTAGCGGATCCAGAATTTAATTTTGGGGGGGGGCTTCAGCCCGGAAGCTTTTTTTTTCATAAAAATAACGATATTTACTTTGGAAAAACAGAAAGAAACTAACTACCTATATGAAATGGTGTTTAAGTGATTCCTTAAGACCTTTTAAATGTAATTACACCAACAATAATACTTTAAGAGGTATTTTTTAATTATTTTTTTCCATAAAACGTGGTTATGTTTTACCATTTTGGGGGGGGAGCTTCAGCCCGAAAGCTCCCTGTTGTTATTTTCGTGAAAGCTTTGGTGTTCGCGTCCTATCTTTGCATTAAAGTCACCTATGACTAATTTTATGTCATTGCTATGAGCTTGGTCCACAATATTTTCCAACTGAACGTAGAAATCATTAATACACATTAATTATCGTGATATTAAACTAACGACCTTTAACTCGTAATACACTAATCTTTTCGTTTATCGGAGTGAATTTTATAATTTATTTCCTTGCCGCTGAACTAACTATAAATCCTGTGCAGGCTGTCACATTTTTATAGTTTCTCCCGGAATAGAATAGTGTATAGCCGTCGATAATGGTTTCGCCACCATCTGGCCACCTTACCTCTTGAATGGTTGTTACCGGTATGTGATACCTTTTTAGTCTCTAGTTAGTTTTCTATGAGCTTCTGCTATACGCTTATTTTTTTTTAAAATCAATTTACAATAAAATATATCGATAATGATTGATATTTTCTTCCATATTCACAGTGCAATAGCAAACACAATACTAAGCTAGTTTCAAGAAGAGCTAACAGTTGTAGTTGTTGACGAGTCTCTTTAGAATAATACAGAAAGACAAAAATGTGGGCTAAGGAGCCTCAGAGATACATAAACAACAATATAGTTTGATTAAATAGTCAAAATTAAAAAAATAACAAAAGAAATTATAAGTTACTCTCTAATTTAAATCAGTTAATAATAAAAAATTGAGAATAAACATGAAGTACAAATAATGAAAAACGATCTAATAATTTATATAAATATTTATAGAAGTAGCTATTTACAATTGTATGATGACTGGATGGATAAGAAATGATTAAACAGTCGGGATTTAAAGGTAGGAAGGGTTTTGGATTGACGAACGTTGGGAGGGATGGAGTTCCATAGGGTTGAGGATCGAATAATAAAAGATTTATTGAAAGCAGCGATTCGGTGAGCCATTATATATAAATCTGGGGACCGAGAACGGGTATTGCGGGAGTGGACAGAGGATTTAAATTGAAGGAGCTCGGAGATGTACGAAGGACGGCGGGAGTGAATTATTTGGAAGAGGAAGGATGCCAGGAAATACTTACGGCGGAAGGAAGGATAAAGCCATTTTAACTCTTCATAGAAACAGGAAACAAGGGCGTCTCTTGGGATGACGAAGATGAATCGTACAAAGCAATTTATCAAACGTTTTATTTTCGCCTCGAGATCCACAGAGACACCCCCATATACCGCGCAGCAATAGTTGAAGTGGGGAAATATTACGGAGGTGGCCAGGAGTCTACGGATTTCAAAAGGAAAAAGCTATCGCAGGCTATTTAAGTGTTTTAGGGTGGAAAAGGTACGTCGGGAGATATTGGATACATGTTTTTTCCAGGAAAGGGTTTGATCGAAGATTATTCTAAGGTTATTGAAGGTGGGATAAAATTTAATGGGATTATCATGTACGAACAATGTTGGAAAGTTAGGACCAGTTTTGAGGAGGTGATTGGGGGCTGTTAGGATTGCGTTGGTCTTTTCAGTATTCAACTTCAGCTTGTTAGCTCCTGCCCAGTCATATATTGCGGCCATGGAACTTGGTCGAGATCTCTATGTGGCCTGCGGGCTTGTGTGACATATGTTCTAACTTAATTAACAGCGACATTATTGCTAAACCAAACTATCTATTTTATGTATCTTGATACCGACAGCAGATGGAAAATATCAAAAATACTAGCTTAGTATTTAGTATAAAATAGTAGCTTAGTAATAATCATTTATATATTTGTTTGATCCATAGTTTGTGAAATGTCTAAATATACCTTAAAAGAAAATACTTACCTACTTAATTGTCAAATTTAAAAACAGAAACACTTATATATAGAAAGTAAACAGAACATAAATATAGCCAAGCTCCCAAAGACATTTCTCATCAATGGCAATCCTTGACACGCCGAAAGAATCACCGATGGATCAGTGGTTACATCGGCTTTTGGCATCTATGGATCTCCTGAATGTAACCGTTACAACTCCAGTGTTTTCAATTTACTTTGCACATTTATATTCAGTTCATTTTCTATCTATATTTATTTCTGAGAAGGTGTTAATCGGGGGGTGTGGTCAAATAAATACTAAATTAAACAGATAGTAATTATTTAATTTTTGCCGACGTTTCGACCCACTTTGCAGGTCGTCGTCTTCAGGGCGTAGGATGTAGCACTGCGGGAGGCAGTTGAAACACTATATATTTATTTCTGTTTTGAAATACAACAATTCTATGGGTAGGTATTTTCTTATTTTTTTTTTTCCTAAACTCAACATAAGTCACTCTCCGTCTGTGCTTGATACAATCAATAGATATATTCCATTGAAGAAATCAGCGCTGAGTTTATGAACTTCACCTATTGAACAGTTGTATAAATTGTAAAATGGAGGTTGGTCTGCCGTTAGGCGAACAGAAGGTACCCCCGTAGTTAATTTTTATTTTTAAATCAAAATATTTTAAGATGGTAGGTACGATATTGATAGTCAATAATAGTAAATGATATTGATAGTAGATGCCATCGTTGGTAAAATATCGAATATCGAAAGAAAATATTTTCGACTATCGTTGGCCATCCCTAGCTCAGTGCTGAGTTTCTCCTATATTTGTAACCTGAACATGCAGGTGATGTTTTGATCGTATGACCAGTAATGGTGTGTACTTAGCTTGCTGATGTTCAGAGATTTATTTAAATATTATAAAAGTAAAGCACCACCGCCAGATCTGTCATCAGTATTACATATTGATGATGAGTCGGAAAATGTTATTATTCTTTTATTGTTCATGTGTTTTTAATTTTAAGTTTCTTAAATTAAGGTAACATTATTTTTTGTTCCTTGGGTTTAGATTATAAAGAAACAACCTTTACCATGTTCAAATGAATTGGAAAATCAACTACAGAGTTTAGGTCTAGTACCCTCATTAAACTGGAAGTTATATGGACATGCAGAGCATGCTGGTAATTAATGTCATCAGTTTTTACAAAGTCATTTTCTTGTTTTTGCTTGTGAAATTAATAACACTATCTGCCTATCAAAGGTATAGATTTTAAAGTAATTAATTACTTAGGAAATGTTAAAGCTTAAAGGTCATTAAACAGGGTGGTGACCGAACTGGAAAATGCGAAAAGTATGGGAATTTTCAAAACAGGGAAAAGTCACAGAAAAATTGTTAAAGTTAGGGAATTTTTTTTATTATGTAAATGTTTTTTTTTCAAATTGGAAATAAATAAACAGTGGATATCGTTTGACCTTGAAGGGTTGACTAAGGTTGTTATATTCATCCACTTTTGACTCAATAACGGCACTGGCACCTTATATTGAAATCAAACAATGGTAATGAATAAAATTTAAGCATAACGGACTTAAAACAATGCTTGTTTGAAAAAACATACCAATACGATTTACTATTTATAATATATACATCTCTGGACATATTTATTCTTTAGTCATAAAGTGATGATCTCCTTAACAGTAATTCTGTCTATAGATAAACGCCCATTAGAACATCCTCACAAAATATTAGTTTGAGGTTCATCAAACGGATCGCGAATTGATTTTAAATATTTCTTAGTCTATTTTAAATATTTCGAGTAAAATCGTCTTTTACCTTAATAGCGGAATATTAAGAAGAACTGATTTTGTTGGTAGGTTGTCGTTTTTTGGATTTAAAAGATTCACCACATTCAGCATGCTGTCTCGAAAACACTTGGAATTTTTTTTAAATTGTTGAAATTGTTAAAGAGCATTAATTAACCAGAAATGTCACATTTGGTGTTATATGGATAATTATTAAGCTCACTTTATTTTATAATAGAGAAAATCAGAGCTTTATATGTCAAGTATCAACTTTTACTCCCCCTCAGTTTATGAAAATAAAATGAAAGAGATAAAAATAAATTACTAAAAGTTTGGTTTTCTAAAATAAAATATCCTAATGAAGCGTAAAAAAAAAAAAAGAATGATTGGTTTTCTCTGTATACTTTAAGACACACTCAGGATTCCATTAATGGTGTGATCTTCTATATGTGATCTTCTACCATCGACCACAGAGGAGTAACTCTTTGTTCACTAATATTGAAAGCCTTTATAGTAATGGTTCGGAGGACTTCTAATAAACTGTTGGGATCTAGTTAGCAAAGCTTCCTCTAAAACATTATACTAGTTACTTAAAAGACTTAATTTTTATTTTTACTCAAATCCTTTTGTAGTCAATTTTTTTTTGTTTATGTATAATATATAAATTTAACTAGAAATTATACATTTTTAACATTTGTGTCCCCAGATGTATTGGTCAAGGAAAACGATCATTAAATAAAGAAATGTCAGGGAATTTTATCTTAACTGCCTGGTAGCCACCCTGTTAAATGAGGTAGCTTTGTTAACTAGGTCCCAACACCGTGGGCGGGGTGGCCAAACGGGCTAACCTTTGTGCACAGCACCGCCGTTGCCCAACAACCTGATATGTCAGGCAGTGGATTTAAAATAGTCACAAGTTCGCGTCCCGGTGCCGGAGGAGTTCTTTGAATCCCTGCCCACACCCCCTGGTCCGAGGAAACCCCATATAGCTTCAAAGGCAAGGAAGAGGAGGACCCAAAAAAAAAAAAAAAAGCTTTCAGTATTACTGTTCAATCACTAGTATTACTGCTCTTTGGCTCTGTGGTAAGATCTCATGATCACACAATTAATGGAATTTTGAGTGTGTTTCAAAGTATACAGAGGTGTCCAAGACCCCAACCTCAACTGCAAAGGATCCTTTGGGAGTTTGTTTATCCCTTTTGAGTTTAAGGCAGTGTTTTAATTAAAGAGGCTATTCTCGGAATCTTGGCTCATTTGTCATAATGGATTGATACTGGTAGAGTGGTACCGAACTTTCAGGTGTAATAGAAAACTGCTATGTGACATGATATATGACACAGTATAAATTTATCATTCTTATCTATGGTAAGGGTGTTTCACCTCCAGTTTGTATAATACTAATTTACAATTGTTCCACTTCGATGGGCGGACAAATAATCTATTGATCACTCTATGTGTGAAACGGCCAAGTATTGATGTGTTCACTCAAATAACCTCCCTTTGATTTGATTACAATTTACGACTACATATTGGTCCTCTTAAGTTAAAATTGAAGCCTTTATTAGCTTTAATTATATCACTGTTTTTGACTTTCCCTTGTTACACTTACTCTAAAGGAATATTGAAACATCCAGGTCTTTTTCAGTTGAAGTCGTAACCTTAGCAGATGGTTTGATCACCTTTGTCTACTTTTAGACAAACTCAGATTTCCATTTGCAATGGGATGAAGAGATCTTATGTCCACTCATCAAAGTGGAGCAACATTTGTAAAGTAGTAGTTAGCAACGCTTGCAAAGTAATACAGTTTGTTCATTTGGGTTTAACATCCTTAAGTACTCCACCTTGGGTCATAAACAGATATGAGGACATTAAATATACGAATTATACAAGTAAGCAAGTAAGCAACCTTCTCTTTTGAATGGATGTAAACGAGTGTACCGTACATGATCAGTCCATTTGTTCAAGTAAACAATGGTCACACCTTTATCATAGGATTCATTATTTAGTTTCTATTGAACAATAAGCTATAGAGAATATGAAATTTTCATAGCTTTTGGTAAAAATCTTATGATTCAAAGAGCTCTATTTCAGCATGTGTTATACCTACAACTTTCGTATTAGTCTCCAAAATTAGGTGCTACTTGTGACTTAGATAATCGCCACATAACCTACCTTCTTATCTGGTGTAACCTCTTCTTATCACTTGTCTCTGCTTAGTTATTTGTGCGTTATTCAATTGTTTTCAGTTTATTTTTTGTTATTTTCTATTTAAAATGGATGATTTTTTTTAAAGATGAGTTCTTTAAGCCTTGAATCTTAGAAGCTTTCAGCTCAAGATGATATCTATTGTCACATTATCTTCCATCTAATATCGAATATAAAATTTTTAATGAGATTAGAATAGTGAACAGTAAATTAACATAATCATATACATATACAGGGTGTTTCATAATTGCACGGCACTATTTTAGGTATGTGTTCACTAACACAAGATAAACAAAGAAGTTCATATTAACATATATCTTAAACTCATTTATTAAACAGATGTCAAAGTTTTATTATTTATTTACTACATTAAGACTGACTGTACCAAGTTAAATGTGTTAAATACTAAATAACAGGTTTTAATCACCTGATAAACAAATGAACGATAAGCAATGACAGTAGTTGCTCATCTGTTTGTCTAGTTCTGTGTGTTGTAGTGTGAGTGAATACTGTGACACAGTATTCAGACTCCTTGGAAATTATGACACGCTAAAACGTATTGGATTAAACGCTGGTTGACAAAGATTTCGACGAACTGCAAACGTTGAAGAAGAAGATTCCAGCTTTCAAGGCTTCAGCCTAAAAATGGAGCTATAGTTGGAATCAATATATCACTATAATAACTACTCTTATTTAATTTGACCTAAAATCATGTTTGTGCCTGATTCTTAAGGTATTTTCAAAATTATTGTTTTTGAGGAATACAATCATGGTCTAAACCTGGATTTCAAGTTTTTATTTGTGAAAATAATGTTACTTTATTGCTATTTCTCAAGTTTTTATTCTAGAAAATAATGTTACTTTATTGTTATTTCAGAATTTATTAAATTTACCAAACAAATTTAAATAACTATCATTAATAAATTTCAGGTCTTTTCATTCTCAAGAATCCTTTTACTGACGATGGTGCATATTCATGGATAAAAAGGTGTCTATCCGAATATCCTAGCCATCCAAACAAATGTAACCTGCATAGCCATAATCTTCTTTTTCCTAATGAAAATTGGTGGGATGTTTGTCACAAGTAGATATGCTCTTCTTATTGATCTAAATTAATCTAATTTGTATTGTAAAGTACTTTAGCATAAAATAATGTGCAAGTTTTTTTTTTAAATATTTGTTTTCAGAGATGCTGAGAGAGGCCTGTTACTATTTGATAAATTAAGATGGGTTACATTTGGGTACCACCATGATTGGGATAGTAAGGTAATTTCCATTTTCATAGATTTTCTACCTAAAAGACTTTAAAAATATATATATATAATAATTACTGGCTTCAAACTTCTGCTGTTAAATATTTGCATACATACAATCAACTTCTGATAATAAATAGAATTTAGAGGCATAATTGCCTGTATGACTGAAATTCACAGATAAACTTCATGTTTATGTACAAAACACATTTCAATTTTAAACTTTCTATTTCACAATAAATACATAATTAGGTATTTTTGTTGAAAACTGTAAACCATATGGCAACTAGATACTAATTCACACCTTGATGCTGTAGATGGAATTCTGAAAGTAGCTTAGTAGTTTATCCGAAATTTGTTTGTATTAAAAACAAAAAGGTTACAGTATATGTTATAATGGACACGAATAGAACATATGCTATTACAATTTCTATGGAACACTTTTCATGGTGAGGATAGTTGGAATTATTAGTGAATAATAAAATTATTATTGCTTTAATTAGATCATAACTGTCAGAATTCCGCTTGCTCAATAAGTTAACAAACCCCCAAGAGGTCCTTTTCAGCTGAATTTGCTACCTTTCTAAGCAAAGCCAATTATGACAAGGACCGCTGCTTAGTAAGGCCACAAACTCAACTCAAAAAGACTTGTTGGGACTTTGTTCATGTTGTGAGCACAGGAGCCTGACAGCCATATATAGTGAATGAATGAAAATAATTTTATTATTCTGGGACTAGTGTCCCTTTAGAACAAGTTACAAATACAGAATATATATTAATATTTTGGTGTGTTCATAAAATACAGTTTAATATTTATAGGTTGATTAGGAATACAATAAAGTTATAAGTAATAAAAAGATATAAATACGTGTTAATATAAAATATACTGAGAAAGTAATTAAGTAAACGAAATATTGATGAATCACAAAGAAATCAGAATATCTGGGCATACTTTGAGGTTTTTACAGCTTAGGTTTTTAAGTGCATTTCGTGATCAATCGGATTGGGAATGGAGTAGGTGTTTGAAGAGGAAAGATTTGAAAGAGGATATGGATTTTACGTGTCGAATATCTGAAGGTATAGAGTTCCAGAGGGAGACAACTTGTATTAAAAAGGATTTGTCAAACGCAGCAGTTCAGTGAGGAGGAGGATAGAGGTCGGCTGCACGGGATCTGGTGGGACAGGATTGAAAGGAGCGTTTGAATTGTAGGATCTGTAGAATATAGGCAGGTCGCCGTGTTCCAATGGCTTGGTATAGGAAGGTAGCAAGGAAATATTGATGGCGGTAGGACGGATAAAGCCACTTCAACTTGGTGTAGAACTGGGTAATATGCGTATCCCTTGAGATCCCGAAGATAAAGCGGATTGAGCAATTCATTAAACGTTTAAGTTTAGCTTTGAGTTCTCCCGAGAGTCCACCGTACACCATGCAGCCATAGTCGAAGGGGGGGGGAACAAGAGAGGAAACACCAGGAGTTGACGGGTTTGAATGGAAGAAGATAACGTAGATGGTTAAACTGTTTCAGGGTGGATATAGTACTGCGGGAAATTTGGAAGATGTGTGGTTTCCAGGAGAGGCTTTGATCGAGGGTAACGCCTAGGTTTTTAACGGTGATATGGAAGGAGATAGGTGAATTGTTCAGAACAACAACAAGATAGTGATGTGAAAAAGTCTTCGAACAAACCAAATTTTTATAAAAATGATATATGTTTCAAAACAAAAGTGTTTTTATCTTCTTAATTGTAATCTGATCTAACCATACAGATGTAGATGTAATATATATTTAAATTAGCATTATTTTCAATTAACAACAAGCGAAGGGGGCCAGTCCGTTGAGTCAACGGTTTTTGTCCTACTACCTTATATTTCATATTTCACTTCTTTTTTGTCTACTCCATTCTTTGCTCTTTATTGTTAACAAAAAGAGCCATTTTATAAACTCTATAAAGCTGGGTATATCTGTGAAAATTGTTCGAATTTGCTTTTTTCGGCAATTTAATGTAAAATTCGATATTTCATAATTTATTTTTATTTTTTCTGTATAATGCTAATCTTATTTCAGAAACTGGCAAAAAAAATCGTATGTTTGACCAACATAAAATTATAATTTTATATCAACGAGGACTTAGAATCAGGAAAATTTGAAGAGAATTTTAAGGTTCTATTTCTGGAATTCATTATATTATACAAATTTTTTGTTAAAAACCAAGCAAACTAGAAGCTTGAAAGATCCAGACAGGTCTAAAAAAACAGTCCTGTTGTTGAACAACATTTAAAATTATCTAGTTTGCACAGCTGCTAATAATCTCGTGGAGAACTAACTGCAAGAACCCATGTTTCGCCCTCCTTGATTAGAAGAAAACTCCCATCATTAGATCTCAATGAATGTGTTACCAGAAGAAAACAATTTTTTACTCTATCTTTTTACTCTCTGGGCGAAAAAAGAATGGAAAAATTTTTTATTGAGAGATGAGTAAAAATTTGAAATGTTCGGTTTATATATATCAGGAGGAAGCAGTTTCTTAGAGAAAATTTAGAATAGAATTTTCAGATAAATGTTTGCAACCGGCAGTAAAACACGGATATGTCTTCTTTGTCTATGTGGTTTGGGAGTGTTTTTCTACATCTGTTGTTAGAGACCTCTTGTGAAGGGACAGAAAACTGGATGTAAAATGGTACCATAGTATTGTTACATACCATCTGGGATTTAGCTGATTGGGCAGAACTTTATTTTTCAGCAAGACAACAATAAAATATATGGTATTTTGACATTTTCTGAAATAAAAATAACAGAAAATAGAAAAAATAAAAAAATAAATTATGAAATACGGAATGTTTAATAATTTACTGAAAAATCTCTACATTAGAACAATTTTCACAGATACACTCAGCTTTATAGAGTTTATACAACAGTTCTTGTTGTTAACAATAAAGAGTAAAGACTGAGGTGAACAAAATAGTATTGAAATATAAACAATAAGATAGTATTATTCAGAAGATAAAAACCGTCAACTCAGCTCATTGTCCTCCTTGGCTTGTTGTTGATTGAAAATAATGATGATTTAAATATATTACATTTACAATGTCTGCTTGGTTAAATCAGTTTACAATGAAGAAGATAAAAACAGTTTTTTTTGTTTTCGAATACTTTTTCACACTACTGTAGAACTAAACTACTAATAATTTGACAGACAAAGTCACTCAAGCTGATGGTTCACCCTAAGCTTTTTTGTAAATTTATTTATTTATAAATATGAAAAGAAATAAAATATACTGTACTTCATTCGTTCATAATTTTACTAACCCCTTATAATCTCAGTTCACTGGGATCAAGACTTGTCATCTATGTCTTCTCATGCCTGTTGATTTTTGCTTTAAGAGCTATAGATACAATTATCTGCTTTTTCGAGTTAAAAAACAAATTGTTTAACTGAGAAGAAAACATTAGCAAAATTAAAATTTTCATAGTATCAAAAACAAAAAATTATACCTAAATAATGATAATTAAAATTAATGTTTGTTTTTTTGTATTTTCCTCCTTGTTTTTTGATATTTAACATTGATTATCCATAAATCTAAGGTCATGTCACGATTCATCATCAAAAATACCTAACAATCATCGAATTCGAATTGAATTTTAGATTGTTTTGGTTGCATAATTGTTATGAAAAAAACAATAACCTTGATATATTTATTTATTTTTGCAAAATTGAAATGGAGGCTAGTTCTAAGCCATTATGCATATGCAGCCCTTTACATATTCTGGCCGTTTTCTTGGCTTAGGATCAGCTCATTTTGGTAACTTCTGGGTCCATAAATTCGTTATAACTCCAAGTTATTATTCGATTGGACCCCTTTCCTTTCATATAAAAACTTGACATTAAACTTCTTATGAGCATAAGAATATTAAATAAAAGATAAAAATGTTTTTATGGAAGGATTTAAATTAAAATGCAAAAATGGTTATTTCTCCTATAACAATAATTATTATAAAATGAAAAATGGTCTACCGATGGGCGGATATATGTCAATCAATCTCTTGGGCATATATCTTAATAATCCAATAGATAAGACTATAATTAAATCGGAAATAAAACTGAAGCAAATTATTAAGTATGTGGACGATTTACTTACAATAATAAATTAAAATGAAACTAATAATTTTCAAGTTAAATTAAATTGAATAATGGATAAACTTAAATCTCAATGGAATTCTGTATTTGGTAAAATGAAAAATATTTCTTTTTACACACTTTTAGCGCATGCTAGGCACAACAGTATAAATTAAATAAGATATCAATTCTTCAGAAACTTTGATGTATGCTCTGAATATAAAAAAAAAAATTGGGATTCTAATTTAGCACATTTGCGCCCTGTCGATTTGTGCAAACTTGTTAAATTTGAAATTTACATGGAAAAGTAATGAAAGTTTTATTAAACTATTTTCCTCTATCACATAAAGTAAGAAAAATAAGTGAGGGCACAAACTTTGGAGGTCACTCTGTGGAACTCTATTCTTGATTTTCTCATTCTGCTTAATTAATATCAGAAAATATGTATTTACGAAAATTTCTCAGCATTAAAATATGAATGGTTTGAGACCAAATTCGAGTTTCTACGATGATCTGTGGTCAAATTTTAGGGGATAAGTAACTTTGGGGCATCCGCCCCCACCAGCCCAAATCTACCACATTCTGAGGTGGCAACATGGAATTTCCTAGTCAGTAGGACATTCTGGACAAGAATTTGAAGAGAAACCGCGGTGTAGATGTTTGCTTACTTGATCACAATCACCGCCTAAACTAATATATGTTTACTTGTTCAAAAGTAATCAATCATTGATTAAAATTTGGACCACTCCTCTTAATTACAAGGAATGGTGATGTAATTGTAGATTAAAAAAATTACTACAGTTTTCGTATATGCTTTATCCTAATCTGCAATGGAATTTTGTGCAAAAGTTTGTCATCTTACTCTAAATAATCCATTCTGTATACACAATGTACACTGTTTTAAAAATGATAAAAGACTTGCAGTCTCACCAATGTCTTCAGGATGTGACATCACTGAATTATGAAACTTTATGAAAATTTATAATAATAAAATTTAAGATAAGTCTTGTAATAAATTAGATGATAAACGGTCTGAAGATGGGATAATAAAGTGGATCCCAAAACGTCATAATAAAAAATAAAAATTTTGGGAGAGTAACTTATTTAGTTTTTCAACATACCTTATACAAATAAACATCTCTCTTAGGACTTATGAACAAATTGACGATTGAATTATTCCAAATTTTATTTGAAAAAAAGAGAGTGGGGTAGCTCAGTGGATGAGCACTGACTTCCAGAGCTCAAGGTCCCAGATTCAAATCCGACTGATGACAAGTAATTTTTCATCAGCCGTGAGTCGACTTTGGGGCCGGGAGACCCGCCTGGGACAAACCCAGCCTCTATAAAGTGGGTACTCTTAATTAAATAATTAATTACGGGGGAAAACCTGGCGGTTGAGCGTGATATTGGCCCGTCACCTCCCTGCACAACCGTTGGTCTTTTAACAGTACTTGCTCACATTGTACTAAACCCAAGACCCTTCACGAGTTATTAGTGGTACAGGTTTTTTTTTTTTTTTTGAAAAACTCGAATAACGGATATAAAGATAATAGATAACTTCAGACTATTTATTATCTAAAAGATTGAGAAAAAAAATTTGTTATTTGATAATTCAAATTAATCATGCACGAGTTAATAACAATTTTGTTCCTTTAGTCATTTTTTTTTTTTTTTGTGAACAGGAAGAGCCACTGACACATTATTTTATGTATTTTCTTCCATAGTAACATTAAGTGTGTGGCTGAAGTGATTGTGAACCACGTGTAATTCGTGCGGAACTCTTGTGAACTAGTACTGGAATTGGCTATGGTGATATGGGTGGCCTGCTGCTGCACCATAGAGACCATGGTTCGTAGCAACTTGAGGTTGGATGACCCCCTCTGGTCTTTCTGTGCTCTTGCAAGCAATATACGAGACTGGCTTAATTGCGGCTCTGGCTCTGCACTCCTACTCCTGGCGTTTTCATGCTTTCATTTTTTTTAAAGATGTAATTAGTGGTTTTTTAAGAGGAATGATTTCTTCAAGATTTTCTTTGTTGCCTGTTTAATTACAAACAGCACTTTATTTACAACTTTCAGAAATCAACTTTACTCTGATGTTTTTTATTCTTGAGCTAATTATTTTTTAATATTATTCTGTGATTTGTCACTGTTTGCTTGGATATACAGAAAACAACTCAAAATGACAATCCTTGTATTTTTTCTTCTATTTAGTAAATTTATATTAATACCATAATTTTAGCTATTGAAATCTCAATTTTTTATTTTCAAATTAAAATGTCTTTTCTGATAGTTGAATCCTGGAGTTGACTTTACTCACATATCTTGTAATACACATTTTTCTTCTTTCTTCCCCACCCCTTCTAATTATTTCCATTATAAGTGTAGTCCATTTCTTAACTTATTTCTTTAGTGTAAATTAAGGGGTATGGTTTCCCATCATTCATATCAAACTTAAACATACAATAATGTAGTTACAAATCAATTATCTTGTTCTCATTGGATTTTGGAATGTATTTATTAATGTTCATAATTAAAACATTTTATTTCTTAGAAAAATTATCCTCAGCTAATTAAGAATTTTTTCAGGTTCTTTGAATAAACTAAGGAATCCTCAAATATTCCTCATGACTCATATTCGCTGGTCCACCCACACTTAACTCGTGCTAATATGGATGTGATGAAAATCTAATTATAAAAAACTTTTGAGCACAATCATGTATTCACAAAAAGATAATAGAAAAGTGTTGTTTTGTAGAGAGCTGTTTTATAACTTAAGACTGAACAAGTGGGCATATGTTTTCTAAATAAATCATTATTTAAAACCATTTTTTTTCTTTATTATTAATTTAAAGAAGTGAAAGTTTGTTTTTACAATGTTAGCCCTTATTATTTTAATGTAATAACCTCTCACTGAGGTTTATCACTCGTATGCAAAGTTTAAAAATATTTTTTATTAAAGATAAAGTTATTAAATAACTAAGATTTTAATATCAATAAATAAGTTAATAAAATATCAGAAAACAGATCAGAATTAAATTTTCAATAACAAATGACCAAACCAATCACCCTCTTGGAAAAGCTCATACTGAGACTGCTGTCGATCCAGTTTTCATCACTAATTCCTTCAGCTTTTGACTTTTTATACAACTTTGCTATAATAATTAAAAACATAATTGTAACTAATATTCAACTCTGTCCCTAGCCTTTTTCATATTATAACTTATTTACTTAATAATACATTACATATAGAGTTTTAAGCTTTTTACATAAATCATCAAGGTTTTGTGCAAAAAAAAAAAAAAAAAAAAAAAACCAAATGCTATTTGATGAATATTTGTCATTGTTTTATATTATATTTTTGCAATTAAATAACATATTTATTGTGAACGAGTTGATCGGGAGATGCGGTTAAATCAATACGAAATTTAAAAAAATAGTATTTTTAATTATTACGCCGACATTTTTACCCACCTTGCAGGTCTTCGTCAGGGCGTGGCGCATGTGGAACTGCAGGAAGCAGTTGATAGACTGGCGCTCAAACATATTTATTGTTCTCAATTCCTTTTTGTATTAAAACAAGCACTGATCAAAATCACCATTTAAATATTCACTCTATCACAAATTCCATTTTATTTTTATAATATAGGTTATTATTTTGTTTTTAGGTATATTGTATAATTAATAGTCAAACATTGAACAATGAAATTAAAGACAGAAAAATTAATTTTTATTTAATCCTGAAAAATAAAAAAATAATAATTTAAACATTAAATTGTTAAAAAAGTTATAACATTTAAATTCATTGTTTAAACTGAAGGCAATTTGTACAAAGATTTATTACTCACAAAAAAAAATAACCAGTACCTTCTAAGGAAGCACTAATATTCTTTTAAATTAAATATTCTTAGTCAATGGTTGTATAAGGAAGTGATTTGACCAAGATTACACTCAGTCGCCAGATTTTCCTCCTTAATCAATTTTTAATTAAAAGTGACCACTTTATAGAGGATCGTCAGATCCCAGGATAGATCCCTGGCTGGAATGACAGAATAATAATTACCTGCCACAGTCGAACTCAGACCACACGACATAGTGTCTTACTCACTCTTGCAATAAACAGTAAAATTAACATTAAAACTGGAGAATCAGTCGGAAGATAATTGCCTTATATTTTAAAAATTCTGTGTCCAATGGGATAACATACATATATTACCAGTAGTAAATTATCTCTGAAAGGTTCCTGAATCACAAAAATGAAGTTTTATTAAATAGAATTTTTTCTTTAAAATTAACATACTAATTTGTATTAGTATATTAACATTTTCCAGTGAATAAGGCTGGAAACCTATTTTAAATTAATTGGTGGAATTGATTAATTTAATATGTGTATATATATTTTTAAGGTTTATTCTGATTCTAATAAAAGTGAATTCCCAAAAGAGTTGGCTTGCCTAATCAGTTGCTTAGGACAGGCAATCGGAGGATGGGATGTGAGAGCTGAAGCTGGAATTCTTAATATCTATCACATGAACTCAACACTTTCAGGACATACAGATCGGTCTGAGCCAAATCATACTGCACCACTTTTTTCAATCAGGTACTTGGGTTTTTATTTTATGTACTACAAATAAGTTAACTGCAGATGTGGTATCATGTATCACATGATTACAACTGAATACTACTTGATTAAAATAGTACTGTACATATATATAAGCATATTTAGTTATAATTCAGAATAGTTGGAAACTGCATAATAGTATTGTATTATTTAATATTTGATAATTTTTTGTTTATTTGTTTTTTCATTTCAGTTTTGGACAGAGAGCTATTTTCCTTATTGGCGGAAGGAAATTAGAAGATAAAGCTACACCTATAATGCTAGAAAATGGCGATATACTCATCATGTCAGGTAAATGTTTTAAACAAATGTTAGCCAATTATTTCTGAAAATTTATTTTTTATCTGCAAAAATATTTTTTCTATTTTCTCATTTAGTTAATTATCATATACTTCTATATCTCATATTTATCCATGTAACATTACTGCTGATAATGAGAGACTTTGAATTATTTCTCATAATCAAAATTCAAAGTACTTCAGAGGAAGAAGTTTTGAAAACTATGCTTTGTGCGACTATTTTAGTGACGTTAATACCTATCTATTATTAAAGATTATTTAATTTTACATTGATATACATTGAGCTGTTATCGACAAAATTATAAAAATGTATAAAATCAATGGCATTTTTCATTTGTCGATTTGACTGAAAAAGTTTCTGAATATGCAGGCGCATACTTAATTTTAAAAACATAATTTCAATGTCATATGTATTTTTGTTTTTAAGCTATGAGTTCACATACAGATCTTGTTCGAGACATGATTATTTGGACTCATGGGACCTTGAAAACTCAGTTAAAATTTTTTTATTATCTCAATAATCTCACTTTTTTTGTGGTCTAATACACTATGGTCTACTCAGACCTATTGTGTGTCATAATCTATCAGCTGTACTTCAAAACATGACTTTAAAGCATGAGCAAACTGTAACCAGTTTGTTAGATTGACAAGCTTATAGTTATTCGGATCAGAATATTGTATTCCAAATATTCTGAACCTAAGCACTGAAAGCTTATTGTACCAACAGTGTAACCAAATGTAAACACATTCACACCAGAAAATAATATAATATAAACTCGGTCCCTATTTATATTTGTAGACATTAGACCACGATCTCATAGACTAGAAATTATGCTGTACTTAAAACTTTACAGAAATTATAATCTTGTAATTTCCTTTTGTTCTGGCAGTTAATTCACTCTTTAAACTTAAAATTGTGAAATTAATCAAATGTTTTACTCGGTTTTTAAATATATATCGCTACTGTTAGTGCAACATGCCATTTGTAAATATAGAGTTTTTTCACAGTAGAGCATATAAATAATAAAAAGTAATAAAGAAATAATCAGTCTTTATAATTTATTATTAACATTTCATATTTTATTTCCCTCTGCTACTTTCCATAGTTGTAGACTTCTTATTGCAGTTGCAGACTACTTTTAACACAAATAGAATAAATACGAAAAATTGTTACATATGATCTTCTTATGCATTTAGAGTAACGATTTGTGATATTCAAATAAAAAGTAAACTATATTTTTTATTCTTGTTTTTCTAAGATATAATTTTAATGTTATTCACTTTTACATATTTTCAAATAGAATATATTTTGTATATTTCTAGGTGAAAGTCGACTTTGCTATCATGGTGTGCCAAGAATTATACCAACTCCTTGGCCGAAAGGAGACGAATACATACAGTTTTTGAGTAGAGCTAGAATTAATTTGAATATTCGGCAAGTACTAAATGTTGACCAAACCACTCTGTGACTATTCTTAATGCCTTTAAAGTCTGGAAAAGAAAAATATATCTACATATATTTAAAGCAGTTTCTTATTACATCGAGATAGTTTAATATGCTATTATGTTGTAATGTATTTAATAAAAGTAAAATATTTATTATATGAGTTTCATTGGTTCATGGTTAATCACCAATTCATTTAGGTTGTAGAATAAACAATTAAATTAATTAAAAATAATGACATATCGTCAGCCACATTGCAAGGGCAATTTCTGTGGAAAATGAGGTTTTGAGTTTTTTTGGTCAGTCTTGCCCTGCCGCATTATTCTAATCCCACTTAATGAAATCTACAATGTTCCATTTCTTCTCTATAGCCTTTTTTAAAAGACTGTAAGTTCCAGATTATTTTTATTTATTTATTAACGAAACAAAAATGTAGAACATTTGATTTGATTAAATTTGCAAGGAGCAAATTTTTTGGCAGCTTCACAGCTTCCCATGACGTCCAGGATATAAATCAGTTCAGCAGGTCTCTTGGCCAACACCTACGTAATCGTCGTAGTGGGATGTACGGGTTTCTTGTACGATGAAGAATTTCTGTCAGGGGATTCATGTTGTACATCAGTCTTTGGTGAAAGTTATTGTATTTCTCATTTGCAGTATCTAAAATTGTAGGTACGTTTAAGTCTTTATGTAGTGTATCATCTGTGACATAAAACGGTGCGTCAACTATCCTTCGCAACACTTTTGACTGAAAGCACTGAACTTTTTTAATTTTAGAAGTTTTAGCAGAACACCACAGTTCTATGCCGTAAGTCCAAATAGGTTTAAGTAAAACTTTATAAAGGGTTAGTTTGTTAGTTAAAGATAATTTTGAACGTCTGTCAAGTAATCTGGATAAAAGACCGTATCGTCTGTTTAATTCTATTCGTTTTTGTCTGATGAGTCCTCCAAGTAAGTCTTTCCAGGTAAAAACCCAAATTCCTAATTACGTCTGATGTTGGAATTTTAATGTTATTAAAATATGTTTCTGGTGAAGGTTTATGGTTAAGAGTGAATACCACATGCACACTTTTTTTTTCATTCATCTTAACTTTCCACCTTATGGCCCAATCTGCAATATCGTTCAGATAATTTTGAAGAGTGGTAGATGCTCAAACAGGGTTTTTATTTGAGCTTAGGATTGCGGTATCGTCTGCAAAAGTAGCCAGTATTGTGTCAAGTTGTTGTTTAAGTTATTTAGTTGTTGAATCATTTCCATCAAGACACTAAAAGATTTGTTATTAATTATTAACAACACTGATTGTTAACTTGAAAATATTTATTAATTTATTTGATATAAGTTTTGAAAATATGTACAGAAAAAGTAAGTTGTTCTTTTTATTTCAAATTTCGATTAAAGTATAATAATTTTCAAGCTTCTCAGCTAGAACAAGATTTTGGGTTTTAGTTTTAGGAAAATTGGTCATAACAAAAAAAAGTTTAAAAAAATAAAACTTTAATATTATTTCAAGTAGAATATACAATTAAAAAAATGGGCTAAATGTGATTGATTTATTTAAATGACTGTAATTAATTAATCAGAATGACCAGGTAATCCTAATTGGCAGTATGTAATAACAAACACAAACCCAATTTTAACTATTAGGCCTAGTAAACAATTATATCACATTATAATTTGTCGTTTGGACAAACCGATAAAGTTACTTGCGCATATTCTACTAATATTACTGAGGATAGAACAAAGCAAGAGCAGGGTCCTGGGCCTCACAGGTAACCAGAACTTCACGAAACTTGTCTAATAATTGCATCAATTGAGAGCGACGTAAGTTCTCAGTGTACATGATCTCCTCTATATGATGTTCGCCTTGTAAGTAATCTGAAAAAAAAAAAGATGGTTTTTTCTCTGAATGTTATATTATTTACTTTTCGATATACCATCTATTATTCTAGTAATGAAGAGAAGAACAGTTGGGATGTTCAGTCAAAAAAGAAGGCAAAAATAAATTATAATATTTATTTTTACATATGCCGACGTTTCGACCTGAAGTTCAGGCCTTCATCAGGGCTAAGAAAATAACCAGATAACAAGGTATGAGAAACATAAGTAGTGATGGTAAAAAAAATAAATAAATAAAAAATTATAAAGAAAAAAAATATTTTTTTTATTATATAAAATATAATAAATAAATATAAAGTAAAACAATTTCATTTTACTTTATATTTATTTATTTTATTTTATATATATATATTTTTTTTAATAATTTTTTATTTATTTATTTATTTTTTTTACCATCACTACTTATGTTTCTCATACCTTGTTATCTGGTTATTTTCTTAGCCCTGATGAAGGCCTGTACTTCAGGTCGAAACGTCGGCATATGTAAAAATAAATATTATCATTTATTTTTGCCTTCTTTTTTGACTGAACACCCCAACTATTCTTCTCTTCATTATCCACGACAGTCAATCATTTACCAATTATTATTCTAGTAGATTTCCATTCACTACAATGCACTAAACAAGAATTGTGCCTAATGAGATCAATATTCTCACTCAGAATAGACATTAAAGGTAGTATAGTGAAGTTTATTGTTTATTTAGTCGATGAATGCAGTGAAAATAAATGTTCACCCAATTCCATCACTAGTTTCATTTGAACTTAATTTAGTAATTTTTTATATTAATACTAATGTTTGTAATTTTTGTGTAATGAATATGAGAACAATAAAGTCTGGAAACTATACAAAAATATAGTTGTTTATTTGTTGACTTCAGATCTTTAGGGGGAAAAAATTATAAATGAATAAATATATTTTCTAATCTGATAGGAAGCCATTTCAAGTTAGAAGTTAATTAAAATAGCAAAGTTTTAAATAAATTGATATAAATAAAAAAAAAAAATAATTACATGATACTATTATTTTTTTCATAATAAATAATGATTACCTACCCAATAAGATGAGTCTGACAAGAAGCCTAATGTGTTCGGTACCTCCAGAGCTCAAGGCATTTCGCTCTTCCGGAGGCAATCTGCTTAGACAGTCATCTTGTGATTGCTGGCTACCCCAATTGCTTTCTCCGCCTGTCTCATCACTAGATGTCACTGCATCCTCAGGACTGGATGTCTCCTAATCGTAAAGTAACATTACGTATGATTCTTTAATAATATAAATATAACAAAAAAGATTTCACTAACCTGTTGTGGGAGACCTTTCGAAGTTGGCATATAATATATATAAGTATGAAGCTGCATTATTAGCCTCTGTTGCAAAAGCCATATAATTATTTGAACATCCAAGTGTGGATCTGAACTTAATGGTGACAATTTATGTCGAACTGAGATTGGAAGAGAAAATTCACTCATCACCTGCAATGTCATAAGCAGAGAGGATTTTCACTAGCAAACAAATAAATCATACAAATATGAAACTTTCTTAGCAAACGGTAATATAAACATACAGCCTAATTTTTCGATAAGCCGGCATGTAGTTCTTGAGCAACTATTTAAAGTACAATTAGTAATTCCACATCTCTGCATTAACTAGAATTCTGAATCATAGTTTAGCTTTCGGTGAAAGAAGTTGGAAATATAAAGAAAAAAAAAAAGAAAGAAAATGAACTCCTTAAATTACCTGAATCAGAGAATATCCTGAAAATTGTTCAGCAAACTTTTCAACTAAATGAGATCTACAGTGAACGGGAGCCCCTGGTGCCGTCATATATACATTTGTTTCACATAATGGATAAATAAAAATGGCTTTACCCCAATATACAAGATGACCTGAAAGATTAAAAACCTGAAAAAGTAATACAGTGCTTCATTTGTTTTATAAAAAAAATATAAATCTAGGATTAATAGTAGGTTAAATCTTTCAGGAAAAGTATAGAGTATAAGTCAAGATTTTTCAATTAAAAGTTTGAATATTGAGTCCCATTTTTACAATATCAATCAAAAGTAAAGAAGATCTAGATCAAATTTCGTTTTCATGACTCGCTGTGTCAAGTCGTTCCACGTTGATGTACCTGGAGTTTGAGCTTCGGAAACTGCCTCTTCTTTATTTTAAAGGCTGCATGTTTTTATAAACTATGCAACATTTATAATTTGCAGGAGGCTTCTGACAAGGGTTTGAGACGTGTTGCAGTTTGACCATGATCTAGCCATTACTCACGGGTATTCGGATTTTGAAAGTAAACCCACTTTTCATCACAGGCAAGAATTTTCCAGTAACATCTCATATCAGAAGGGTTTTTAAATAAATGTTCACAAATTTACCTCTTCACAAATGACCTCTTAGCTGATTGCTGAGGAGTAAGTTTGTGAGGGACCAGTCTACTGCTCTTTTTCGCCTTCCCCATGGAGAGTAGATGGTGACTAACTGTATCTTTCAACATACCACACTTCCTGGCAAGTTTGCAACAGATTTGACTCAACAGCTTCCTGCAGAACCTCATCAATATCCATTAACGGTCGCCTGGAGTCTTTCTTCTTTTCCAACATCGTATCTCCACTGCTAAATTTTCCAAACCAACGCCGCGCAATATTGCTTGTCTAGGTCACCTTTCTCTTTATATTCAATAATTTCACGAGTTGCTTCAGCAGCTGTGAAATTTTTTTCCAGTTATACCTTAAAATTATGAGAATTTCTTTCGTAGGACACTTATGTTTCTTCTTTGAAACAAATAACTAAACTGAGGCTTTTTTTGAAAAAGTCGAATGGGATTAAACAAGCTTAGAGAATGCTTTAAAGGGATTATTAAATATTGTTAAGTATTAGATAGGATTAAAATATTTACAATCCTTTCAAATCTTGAATTTGACAAAATGGTAATTTTTTTTATACAACCTATTATATTAAAAAGCTTCTACCTTCGTATTTGGTAGAAATACAATAAAAAAGTTACATGTAGCATTACATCTTTGTGTCTTAGACCTGCAAAAAAAAGTTGACTGAAAATATAATGCTCATAAAATAAAAATTACAGTTTTTTCGTCTCCTGAAAATTTTTAGTTTTTGTTCTTACAGGCTTTTGCAGTGTGGCTGTCAATATAATATATTTTAATTTTTATGTGTTATATTTTTTGGGATATATATGCATTCAAACAATTTTTAATTACTATTAATTAATTAATGACAAATAAGTAATAAGTAAGTAATAATTACCTCTGTGAAAAAAGAAGCAAACTTCTACTGAGTATGGACAGAGCAGCCCTTAAAAAGCTTACAGCAATCTATACAGGTCACTGTAAGCTAAATTACCATATGTTCAATCTCCGAGTAATGACGAATCCGCTATGCAGATTCTATCAGGAGGAGAATGAAACAGCCTTTCACACCGTGTGTAGATGTGTTAGATTCACAAGGCTGAGACTGGTAGTATTTGGGGAAGAACGAATGGATCTCCCCAGTAGAATGAGTCGGTCAATCCAACCAGCCTACTTAGATACACGGAAGCGACTAGAATAACGTTTTGATTAAAACGACTAACTGAAATTGGCGCATAATGGATCCTTTAGGGGTCAACGTGCCCAGGGCCAACATTGGGAAAAAAAAAAAAAAAAAAAAAGAAAATTACTAAATAGTACTAGTCCCAATATGTTACTCCAAAACTGTTATTGAACACAAAATAACATTATAGGTAGAATTCTAAAAATAAGTGGTGATTACAGATATGGAACCATTTTTAATTTAGAGCAATAAAAATCCCTTTTTTTTTTTTATCTGACAATGGTGAACGCCACATAAAGCGTTATATGGGTTTTGGTTGTCTGCTAAAAGGTATATCAACGATTTTTAGAGCCATTGGTAGGATCAATTCATAAGTTTGATATCTTAAATTATTCAACTCCATACAATGGGAGTTTTTAAACAATTTGGAATCAGAATAGAAATGAATTCTGATATATGATAATATGTTTTAATTAATCCACTAGAAGTTGTAACAATATTTTGAGCGAACGACAACAGATTTTAAGTTTCATACCTTAAATTATTTAGTGCGATCATGTGAGTGTTTTGAAACAATTAAACACAAAAAAACTAATTCTAGATTGAATAAAATGTGTTTATAGCAAGGTGCTGATGACCTAGATGTTTTGCGCCTATAACATCAAAACAACCAACCAAATGTGTTTATTTAATTTACTAAAAGACATGTAATGATATTTTGAGCAAATGGTTGGATAAATTTTTATCTTTAATATCATAAATTATTCAATGAGACAACGGGAGTATTTTGAAACAATATGGACTTAAAACACAAATAATTTACTAAATAAAACGTGATTTAATCAATTTGCTAGAAGGTATGTAACAACTTTTTGAGCTGTTATATATCGGCTGGACCGATTATTATGTTTTATGGTCTAAAGTATTGATCAAGATCCATTGAGTGTTTTGAAAAATTTAGGATCAAAACACCAACAAATTATTGTGTAAAATGTGTTTTAATCAATCTGCAAGAAGGTATGTAACGTTTTTTTAGCATTGTGAAAGTTTACCAAAGGTCTTATCAATGGAAATAGATCCTTTCCAGTTTTTCATCAAATACTTAATGGTTATCAAACTCATCTGACAAGAATTTTTGCTTGCTAAGGCACTAACCTCAACTGAAAAGGACCCATTGCAGATTTGTTTATCCTTTTGAGTATGCAAGCAGAAAATCAAGAGTTGTAATTAAATTAAAGCAAAAATAATTTTATTAATACTGTCAAGACTCCATGTACAGTGAATCTTGAATACAACCGCCATAATGGAAAAGCACTTCAGAAGTAGTGCCCAATTTTAGATTTTATAATTATATGTAATTTTGAAGAAAGTGTATTAAACAATCTGGATTGAAAGAATAAAAACAGCTAATAACAGATTATATTAAGTCTATTACCTGTGTAAGAGTTAAATCTGCATCTGCAGAAAGAGTCTGCAATGACTTTAAAGGTGTATAAATTTTCAGAAGTCTTATAAGGGCAGGGGAAGCATCAGGTACTAAGCTATCAAGCAACTGATTAGTTTCCACTAATAGTAGAATACCATGGTAGGGTCGAATACTCTCAAGACACCTAGATAGGTACAAATTGGGGTTCAACTCAATGTTAATATTTTGATGTAAATATGGTTTATCTAGGAATACAATGGACTATAACCCACTTATCAATAGCTTCAGGTTCTACCATCAGTGCTCTATTGTGGAGTTGATGAACTTTCTGGGGAAGACAGAAACTGAGATAAATCCACCTGTTTACACGAAGCTGTACAAGCCCAGAGATTTTGAGATCATTGTAGGCTTTCCGAAGATCTCTTGCAAGTGAACATTGTTCCAATATCACTTCAAAAGGATTTCTAACCTCTGCTCCTTCTTCAGGCCTACAAAAAGTACTTAGAAATTATACACAACATAACGGACAAGAAAAATAAATTATTACCTGCCATAATCATCATGGGCAGCAATCATAGCTTTCATCTCTTGGTATACATAACCAACTCTCCTTTCTTCATGCTTCAAAGCAACACCAAATCTTTTGCTAAGTTCATAATAACATTTGACTACTGAATGATTAGCCGTTGCATGAAGAGCAAACACTATGTTGATGAGTACTATGGGTCTGTTAGGTGCTTTACCTTTCCTGCTACAGGGCGGAACCATTGTTGGATGTCCAACAAATCTGACATCATTAACTTTTAATTCAAACTTCGCTTCGCACAGTTCTTGTTTCACAGCAAATAAATTTGAAAGTATGTCATCAGCAAAATTGGCTAAGCAGTCTTTTTCTGTACTATAGTTTTGAGGGGGAGGACCCTGTAAATCTTCAGTAACTATTAGAGCATAAGGATTTTTTTTTCTATGCAGTTGGCCATTTTCCTGACGTTTATTTATTTCATAAGGATATCTAAAAAGAAGCCTATCACCTTTACTATCACTTTTTACAAGAATAACACTTAAGGGATCAACATCCATAACTTAAAAAAAGTAAACTAATTATCGATTAATTATGAAACCTCCGGAGCGCACAAAGAGGTACTTTATATAGAAGTATGCGTTCACCAAACAATCAGAGCTATCTTAAGTAGAGTGACGACTGTTTGTCGAGCTGGCTCTCCACGTATACCAACCAATTTAACTTAAATTCTTTTATCGTGAAACTCAATTTTTAAGAATTTCAGTGTCGTCATCTTAGACATGTGACCTGCCCACTATAGACTTCCTATTTTTATAAAAGTTTCCAGGCTTCATGTCTTGCTTTAGGCTATTAAAAACAATCGAGATAAAATCAACAGCCCATTTGTAGAAGGAAATTTTTGAAGTCACCTTCCTTTTTCATTGGATAGGATTATTTAAGGATATTTACAGACAATAGAATACTATTTCCATGTCAATCAGGTTTTAAGCAAAGCGCAGTTAATTCTTTGGAGTCAAGGAAAAACTGTTGTTCTCACAACCTATAGTCACTATTCAATTATTTGAATGTTAAAGAGGAATGACCAAGGGTAATGGAGTTTCTGAAATCAAAGAAACTTCGAGCATAGATGTGAATGGAACCTTCATAATGGAGTGTTTAACTTCAGAACAGATAACATAAAGGCTAACTTTCAAAAGAGTAATTCAATAAGATTTCAATGAAGCTGAAGATGACGCGAGTGGGAAGATAAGAGCCATAAATCAACTGAAGAGCTATCAGTACTTAGAAGTCAGCGGTGGACAAACCAGATGTTAAACTGAGCGAAGACGACAAGACCAAAGTATATGTTAGGTGGACAACTTCCTCACCCATAAGAAGAGTGGGTATCTAACTTGACAAAGGTGCAACACAGTGACTCACGATCTTTTTGTGGTCAACAGCATGAGGAAGAACTTTCATCCTGACTTAACTGTAAAAGAAGGGTTAAGTGGATATTTACGATTCGGATTTTCAAGAAAAATAAAAAGCTAAATAATTACAGACTTATGTAAATGGACAAAAAAATCCGAAAAAGTTCCAAAAACAGCCATTTAAAGAAAAAAGAAATATAGGGAGAATTCATCCTCAGATAAATTTTCTAATGTAATATTTATAAAAATTATTATCATAGCCATTTTGGTTTATTATTTTCCATAATCAACCATTGTGATCGACTAAAAAATTCAAAAACATAACCCCCTCTCAAAAGTTGAGGTTTCACGTTTCTTCAAGATGCATAGAATTTGAAAAACGAATAAAAATATTTTTGTCCGTCCGCCGTCCGCGCATTTTCTCCGAAACTACTGGACCGATTTCTTTCGAATTTGGATATAAGATCAGAGGTCACCCAAGGATGATCCTCCTTCATCGACATTACTATCCGCCTTTTACTTTCAAAATGGCGACCGAAAAACCTGCGTTGCTATAGACTGTAGCTCCTGAACGAATGATCCGATTACAATGAAACTTCGCTAAAGTCATTTTCTTTAGATGCTCTTTACATTTATTTATATAACATACTTCAACGAAAAGAAGCTGGAAAAAAAGTTACAAGGGATTGTAAAATTAAATTCCGAATAACTCAAAAAGTTTACACTTTTTGGTGGATAATGTGATAAGATGTTTCAAGGGTATTGAAATTTCCTAAAAAATGAAGGAAGTTTCATCGATATCAAAGCACTATTAGTAGATATATTTAATATAGAGACATTTAATTCATTCAATAATCATTTAATGGCTGACCTAGATGGTCCAATTCTTTAAAAATGGCTTCTGTGCATTCTATTTTCAAACCACAAATTATAGCCTTAAAATATAGCTAATTAGATAATCAAGTTAATGGTAAGGAAGCTATATCTGAGCCTTCTTAGCAGACGTTTATAGTTTTTCCTTTAACTATGTTCTTACTTCAATAACCGTCCTTTTAATACTTTTAGCTTCCAGGTATGTATAAATTTTTACTTTCACTTACCAATATATATAATATAAAGATAAGTATTGCGATCGTGAAAATTTTCGAATGTGAGTATTCAAGGGAAATACGTTTTGAGATTCCTTGAGTCCAAAGAACCAAGTTCTGCAAAATGGGCTTTGTGTATGTGTCTGAACAGTCTAGTTCAAAACGAAAAGTCGTACGAAACTGATATTACGTATTTAAGATGGGTATCTGCCTTAGATGTTACAGCAACTTTTTTCTTAAAATCGGCTAACCGGAAGATCCACATTAGATAATTACCAAATACTATTTAATTGTATTTGTGTGAAAGAAGAAGTGAAATATAAAAATATTTCAAGGATATGTTAATAACCTTAAATACTTTTGCTGTAGTTTAATAACTCTGGATATGATATTATATTTAAATAATTTGGGATCTATCGGCCGTTTATTCCGAAAAATAATCAAGCAACCTAGAAAATTAAATTGGTGAATAATTTGATGATTTTTTCCTTTGTGAAAACCCAATATTATCCACTTACAATTAGTGTGACAACTTTTGACCTATCCATGGCAGACAATGAAAATCTCGTAATTTCATTTCAGTAAACTTTACAATGGGAAATAACAGTTTAATAATTAATAGTCCTACAATACATAATCATTTATAAGTTAAATATTCAGATGTACTTTCAAATCTCTCTAGGCATACATAAGCCTTTTGTTGACAGAATGATTAACTCCAATTTCAACATTCTTTATTATTAATTTTAGTGAGGTTTTTGGTGGCAAAATTTATACCTTTATTCACAGTTCTATATTTCAACATTGCAATCACATATCGTGGAATCAACTTGCTCACTGCATAGATATAACATTTTCAACTAGAAATATTACTTAAATGACATTACTCAAAAATGTTGAAATTAGAGTTAGTCATTCTGTCAACTGAAAGGAGCAGAGACTGAAGTTATGTGCTTTCTATAACTAGATTTTTATAGCCCACCGCCAATATAACAAATAGACTTTTTGTAATTTTAATGGTCTTAATGATTTGTTATCTGTAAGCTTTAGCTCTGTTTAAAATGCACTTCAAAAATTTTTGATGGACAAACATTGCCAGAAAATAATTTCTATTCTAAGTAGAGAGTTAAGTGAAAGTTCAGTGTTGTGCGCATCAGATTTTTTTTCTTTGTTTCTTGTTCTTCATAAATCACTGGATTCATTATCTCCTAAGTCTAATCTATTAATCCGTTTTTAAATTTGAATACCACATAATTAAATTTAATAACAAACAAATTATATAATAATGTATAGTAAAACATGAAACTAAAATTTCACTTTTCTCTTTACAAATAAAAATAAAAATAGTTGTTTTGTCTGTTATTAAAGTTATTGATTGGGATAAGAGGTATTAATTTTAATCTCTTAGGGAACATGTTTAATACTAAATTCCCAGTCCACATTCTTAACTTTTTCATCAGAAATAATAAAATACCTATTTAGCATTTTACAAAAGGGTTGTATTGAAAACTATCCATGTACAATATGTTGAGCTGGTAAATAACTAAAATTATCTTGCCTCTGAATCTAATATTAACAAGTTGTATAAAAAAAAATAAATAAAATAATAATGAATGAATGAATGAAAATAATTTTATTATTCTGGGACTAGTGTCCCTTTAGAACAAGTCACAAATACAGAATATATATCAATATTTTGGAGTGTCCATGAAATACAATTTAATATTTACAGGTTGATTCGGAGTACAATAAAGTTATAAATGATAAAAAGATATAAATACGTGTAAATATAAAATATACAGAGAAAGTAATTAAGTAAGCGAAATATTGATGAATCACAAAGTAATCAAAGTATCTGGGTGTACTTTCAAGTTTTTATAGCTTAGGCTTTTTAAGTGCATTTCGTGATCAATCGGATTGGGAATGGAGTAGGTGTTCGAAGAGGAGAGATTTGAAAGAGGATATAGATTTTGCGTGTCGAATATCTGAAGGTATAGAGTTCCAGAGGGAGACAACTTGTATTAAAAAGGATTTATCAAATGCAGCAGTTCGGTGAGGAGGAGGATAGAGATCGGACGCACGGGATCTGGTGGGACGGGATTGTAAGGAGCGTTTGAATTGTAGGATCTGTAGAATATAGGCAAGTCTCCGTATTGTAATGGCTCGGTATAGAAAGGTAGCCTGAAAATATTGACGGCGGTAGGACGGATAAAGCCACTTCAATTTGGTGTAGAACTGGGTAATATGTGTATCCCTTGAAATCCCGAAGATAAAGCTGATTGAGCAATTCATTAAACGTTTAAGTTTGGCTTCGAGTTCTCCCGAGAGTCCACCATACACCATGCAGCTGTAGTCGAAGTGGGGGAAAACAAGAGAGGAGACTAAGAGTTTATGGGTTGTGAATGGAAAAAGATAACGTAGATGGTTAAACTGTTTCAGGGTGGATAGTGGAGGCTTTGATCGAGGGTAACTCCTAGGTTTTTAACGGTGGTATGGAAGGAGATAGATGAGTTGTTCAGAAGAAGATTAGGAGGTGTTGAAATGGATTTGAAAAGTGAGGGGGATCCGATCAGGATGGCTTTTGTCTTCTCCGTATTCAATGTTAGCTTAATAAGATTTGCCCATGTGTATATTCTATTGATGTCTTGTTGCAGTTTCAGGATAGCATTAGAGGAATCTGTTGGGTTGAAGGAAAGATAAATTTGGACGTCATCGGCGTATAGGTGATATTGACAGTGTATGATAGAGGAAGGGAGGTCATTAATGTAAATGGAAAAGAGGGTGGGGGATAATGAGGAACCTTGTGGGACGCCTCTGGACAGAGGTAGAGACGTTGATTGAGGGTTATTAGGAACTACAACGTACAGGGAGCGATCGATGAGAAAGGATTGGAACCACTTTAGGGTATCGTATTGGATGATAAGGATATATTTTTAAGTTTGGATAGGAGGATATTATGGTCAACTGAGTCGAATGCTTTAGAGAAATCAATAAGGATCAGGATGGTGAGTTTCTGTTAATCTATGGCTGTGTGGAGATCTTGGGAGATTTTAATGAGGGCGGAATGAGTGGAGTAGTCTGGTCTAAAACCAGACTGGAAGCAGTTCAAATGTTTATTTTGTTCAAGATATTGGGATAGTTGAGATTGTACTATTCGCTCCAAAGGTTTGGAAAGGTTAGACAAGAGGGAAATTGGACGGAAATCATTAGGGGTAGTGGGGTTAGAGATTATGTTCAGAGGACGAACAAGAGCGGTTTTTCAGGTGCTGGGAAAAGTGAAACTTTGTAGTGAGAATAAACTAAGTTAATAATAAACTTATTAAAGAGAATTATAAATTAACAAATTCTAAATAGGTAAGAAAATGTAATCAACAGCTACATGAACTTAAATCGTAATTAAAAATCAATATCACTCCAAAAATGATGCTAACAATAACCACCATTGTATGAAAATCTAAACATAATTTTACTTTTTCTCTTAAAGATGTAAAGATAATAAAATTTAAAATAAATCTAAATAGAGTGCCTGAATTGTTACGAATCTGCAGTACAAGGCGCCTTATTTTAAATTATAAACATCTGCCTGAAAGTTCGTGAATAGCTTGATACAGAATAGCTCTTAACCTATTACATTTTTATTTATGAAAATTCTTGAAAACGGAGCGTTTTCAATATGAATATCGCTTAACTTCGTCCATTTAATAAGGTACTTATACCTTAATGCCCAATGGTTTTCCACTTGAATTGTATAATATTTTTAAAAAATCGAAGAAAAATATAGCCTACAAAAATATAAAGTCGTTTAGCATGACTAGAAGTAGTCTAAACTACAGTTTCTAAAGTGATAATTAATAAAAAAAGAAAATCTAACCAACCGTTTTTTTAATGAAATTATAATTTTTAAAAAAGTATTTTTCAAATAAATCATTAAATTTCTGCGAATTTAAACAATTTTTATGAAAAATCTTTTTACCAAAATTAATGAAAGCCAAAGTAACTGATAAATAATGAAAAAGGAAATAACTAAATTTATAATATTAACACAATAATTACTAATCTGGAGTAGTACACTATTTCATTTTTAATGGACTTTTTTTTAGAAAATTTGAAAATGGTATTTAAGCCTAAACATAATTACATAAATTCACTGGACTCGGATCAATGATTTTTATTTTTTAAATAGTAAAAATATAAATAAATAGATTATTAAAGTGTGATAGGATACTATTAAGTTAAAAAGATGAAGGTTTCTGTTCACAAATGAGAACTTAAAACTAATTTCAACTGCTAAGAACCATTTATTTTTTAAAATACTTCTTTATATCTTTATTAATAAACACCTATCTAATTAAACCCCAAAAAGAAATGATAAGAAAGTAACCAAACAATGATTAATTAACAACTCCATATTGGTTTCCTTTTTTCTACAAAACTTTTAATACCTTCAGCACCATCTTTATGGACCAAATTTTCTAACATGACTTTTCCTCCTTTCCTAGAAAAATAAATAAATAAATAAACATAAGATAATACTACATTTAATAAAATATAGAGGTTTTATTTAGGCAAAATTACTCATAAGCTGATCTGAGGTCCATTTCAACTTGTTCATAGAAGAACTTCTTTCCTAAGCTGATGACTGCATGACTTTTTTCTAGGATCGCACTTGTTATATGATTGACTTCATTTTCTTCAATGATAACAAGCAAATGAATTTATTATAATACTGACAATCTTGAACAATCAATATAAAAAAATTATTAAATTACCTAATCCATCATTTTCAGTTACGCGTGAAACCAGACCTACGTTATAAGCTTCCTCAGCAGTCAGTGAATATCCTGTGAACAACATATAAGCTGCAGTTTTCCTTCCAACAGACCTCGCCAGTGGTATACCAGGAGTTGAACAAAATATGCCAACGGATGCTCTAAACAAGAAAACAATCTTTCATAAAATACATGATTATAAAAATAAATTAATTTATGATAGCTCTAATTTTTTTTTTTCATTTCCTTGAGAAAATCTTGCAACATGGAGCTATTTACAAAAACAAAATATTTGTTTCTGTAACTCGACGAAGTACACAATCGGTACTTCTCTCTTAGCGGGTAGAGTCCGACTGCTATCCGCCAATGTTTATAACCTTAACACTGATAAGCTCTTCGTATTCGTATATATTGTATTATATTCATTTTATTATGTGTTCGTATTCATATTGATTGTATTGTATTGATATTATTGAAATTGTGAACAAAAACAGAAAGAAATGTAATAATAAATGCTTTTATTTCACAAGGTATATATTAAAATATACCAAAACATAAATATATTGAAAAACATAAATATATACCAAAACATATATATCGTAAAAACATAAATATATACCAAAACATAAATATATAATTAAAAAACATTACGAAAACATTGCAACATATATACAAAAATAAATGAAATAATAAAAATAGGCCAAAAATAGACAAAAAAGGATTAAATAATAAAAAACTACTTTACCTCCAATTTTTTTATTCGACCTGTATAACATGTCATGGGCACAAACTTATCTTAAAAATTTGTTCCATGCTACGACAGTTTGGGTGGATAGTTTGAGCTGCTCTTTCCCCCACTGAATTGTAGTTAAATTATGGAACCACCCATAAATGAATTTTAAAGCCGTCAAAAAAGAAATCCTGGACCCCTCTAACCACGTTCCTTTCCTTATAGAAACGGTTTTGTTACACCTACGAGAGCATCTCCATTTAATCTTCCCGTCGAACTTCATTTTACGACCATCACAATAATCACAATATTTCACCTTATCAAATATACCGGCGTCTTGAAAATATTTGATAGCCTCTTCTTCCGAAGACGGCGATTCCCACAATGTGACAACATCCATAATTCCAGTTGAAACAAAACAACACAATATTAACAAAAGAACACAATATAATACTAAACAACACAATAACTTAAAGAATACTAAAGAACAACTAAACTAAAGAACAAGAAAAACTAAAGAACACAATAACTTGAGAAACGAGATTGGGTCGATAAGGGAGGTTATCTGAAACGAGATGGTTATCTGAAACGAGATGGTTATCTGAAACGAGATTAGATAAGAAGGAAGGTTTCGACTCTACCCGCTAAGAGAGAAGTACCTCAGTAACTTATAGAAAAGAAATAAAAAGTCTCTTCCATGAAGAAGTGTAAATAAAATCTTTTAATGAAACTTTTCAGAACACATATGATAGCCAAATAAATAAGTGGCATTTCTGGTTAGCCAATTTCAATGAAATAATTGCTATAACATCTCGGGCATGTACAAATCTTAAATACGCAATTTCGATTGTGTACAATTTTTAATTTTTGACCTAGACTGTTCACATACATACACATAGACACACACTATTTTGTGGAACTTGGTTATTTGAACTCAAGGAATATCAAAACATGGATTTTCGTCGAAAACTCAGATTAGAAAATTTTCATGATCGCAACACTTTCTTCCCTTACTATATATTATATATATATATATATATATATATATATATATATATATATATATATATATATATATAAGTGCTAACACTTTATTCATTTATTATAAAACTGACGGTTTTTTTTTCATTACTTTAAATGGTTGTAAATTAACTTTTGAAATTGGTTTTATTAATAAAATATCCTACCCCTAATTTAATATTGAATTAGTGGAAATACAAATCTTAAAATCTTGTCAAACCAAATAATATATTTAATTCGAATATCAATCAGATAAAGTTGTTACTGAATTATTAAAAATAGACAACTTTTTATTTTTCTATACATACTTAAATAAGTATGCATAGATACTAAAATCTTAGATTTATGGATATCTGGATTAATATATCTTGATTACTTAATATCAGAACATTTTGGCTTTCAAACTAGATTTTTAGCACGTCAGTTTAATACTCACTATCTTGCGATGCCTTAGACAAACATGCAGCCTTTAAATATATTTTGTTTATTTATGAAATTTTCAAATACTGTTTCTAAATTTTCAGCTTCGCTGAAAGAACGGAGCTCACTTTGCTGGCCGTTGGTTATTTTTTTTTAGAATTTTTCAGGGAAGACTCAAGAAACATAATACATTTGGATTTTTCAGACCCAGGAGGGTGGTGTGATGTTTTTTAAGTATATTGTATGAAAAGTTCATGTAATCCTAAAACTTTTTATATACTATGATGGGGCTGTTCGGGGTTTGATTGTTGTTTTTTTTTGTCCTTCTCTTCCTCGCCTTTTGGGCTATATGAGATTTTTTCCTGGCAATAGGAGAGGGTGGAAGATTAATGCCAGAGTTAAAAGCCCCCCTAGCACTGGGACACAAACTCGAAATTATTTTATCATAATAATTGCTGTTTATTAGGTTGCTGAGAATGACCTATGTCTATGTGCTCACAGAGAATGATTTCCCTCAGCTAATTACAGAAGAAAATTACTTACACAACAAAGAATTTGTGTATGGGTGGAAAGAAGCAGTAGGTACAGAACACTACAACTTCGCAAGAAGGGGACCCGCTCATGTAAGGCCATCAGAACGATGAGTGGAACAAGACTTAAAGATGAATCAAACTGAAACATTACTCATTATAATAGAAAATTTGGTTTCATTACAGGAGTAGGAAGTTATGTAGTCATGGTTAACAACTCAAAACTCGTAATGTGTCAATGGCACGGTAGGATTTAAATAAATAAATGTTTATCAGATTGCCAGGCAATGCGCGTTATGTGCACGCATTGGCTATTGGTCATTGGATATGGACATGTTTATGGATTCTCAGTTATTATTGATCAATCAGAAGTGGTACCAAATTATTTCATAAAGTTCTGAAAAAAAAAAATCATGGTACTACTGTACAAATGTCACTTCACTTACATGGGTGGCATAATACACGGTGGGCCAGACCCCCTTACCGTGCACCCCCCCCACATCCCTATAAATTGCATATCGTTGTGTTCCTTGTAACAATTTATTAAAAAAAAGCCAATGTTCCCACAAAAAAAAGTGAACGCACTGCCCCAAAATGGCGTCCAAAGATGGCGGATTGACGACTTTGACTTTAGTTAGTTTTTTGGTCACTGAGAATCAGCATTAAGCTTAATTTCCTCATAGTTGGTCATTTATTAAAGCTGAATAGTTATAGAATAATAAAACATGAAGAAATATTCAAAAATAATTGTCTAAGGCTATGAAAAACACCAGTAAAGTCAATTTTTTTAACAAAAAAATTTTCAAGTTACAAATCAAGCGTCGTTTGTAATTAAACGGCCTACAATAACGCAAAACGTGCTGAAATAAACTATCTGGAGAATATATTTCTCTTTCTGAAACGCTGATTATTTTTTACAAATGTTTAAGTAGTTCCGTAAAAAATGCACTTATGCGGCAGAAAAGCGGTACTGGCGTGGGTGCCTACAGGCCTCTACCACACCATTCAGTGCCCATAAATGGCTTAGTTATAGTGATATAATAACATTTTTGGTACATTATATTGGTTTTATTAACGAACAAATATTAATGCAATAATTTTATAGTAAAAAAAAAAAATTTAATTTATTGAATTCCGAACAATTCAAGAATAACGAGAAGAATAGCGAGCTACAACTAATATAAGATCCCTTAAAAAATCTTTTGAAAATCCACTAAACAGAAGGAAAGCCATGAGCTATAACTTTCTCGATATACATCTCTATATTCATCTTCAAAGTTAATATAGTCCCGAGGTGCACCTTCAGCAATCGAAAATAAAGTGGTTTTCACCATAATAAACCTACATCGTCCACTTAATATCATCCAAACTGCAATTGATCCCGTTTTAGCAGCATCTTGAAATATTCTGTTCATCTATCTACTATACATTCATTTAGCTATACTATGAGGATATAACTGGTCCTTTTTATCTATTCCGAGGTTTTGGCACTTCCTTTCTCGTTCGCTTAATGTATTTTTCCAATTTTCGCGTTTAAGTTCACGTTTTTCCTCATTTTGAGATCAAATCCAAACAATCAGTTTTGGTTTATAGAAGAACTTATAGGGTCACCCTTTATATCTTTCTTTGTGCATAGAGAATAATTCATTCAATATTAAAATCTCCTATTTATTTATGATATAGTCCAACTTCTGCACAAAATAAAGGAAATAAAAATTAATTTTTTAATTAGTGATATATGAGTTTTACTAAACAACCCGGTAGCTATTCATTATATATAGTTCAGATTAGGTATATATTATTTTAGTTTATAAAAAAGGTATGAATATGACTCATTTCCTGGGAAATATATAAAAATTTTAATTACTTCTAAGAATCAGTAAATATTCAAAACACAGTGTTAAATTGCAAACGTTAAATAAAAAAAAATCAAGATATTTAGCAAAATATTTTTTAATTAACTTTTATTATTATAATTATATCATTTTTACAATTGAGGTATTCTTAAACGACCTACGTATAAAATAAAGGAGGTTAAAATTTAAAAAAATTATAATAAATTTTTTTTTAAATTAAATTTTTTTTTTTTACTATAAAATTATTGCATTAATATTTGTTCGTTAATAAAACCAATATAATGTACCAAAAATGTTATTATATCACTATAACTAAGCCATTTATGGGCACTGAATGGTGTGGTAGAGGCCTGTAGGCACCCACGCCAGTACCGCTTTTCTGCCGCATAAGTGCATTTTTTACGGAACTACTTAAACATTTGTAAAAAATAATCAGCGTTTCAGAAAGAGAAATATATTCTCCAGATAGTTTATTTCAGCACGTTTTGCGTTATTGTAGGCCGTTTAATTACAAACGACGCTTGATTTGTAACTTGAAAATTTTTTTGTTAAAAAAATTGACTTTACTGGTGTTTTTCATAGCCTTAGACAATTATTTTTGAATATTTCTTCATGTTTTATTATTCTATAACTATTCAGCTTTAATAAATGACCAACTATGAGGAAATTAAGCTTAATGCTGATTCTCAGTGACCAAAAAACTAACTAAAGTCAAAGTCGTCAATCCGCCATCTTTGGACGCCATTTTGGGGCAGTGCGTTCACTTTTTTTTGTGGGAACATTGGCTTTTTTTTAATAAATTGTTACAAGGAACACAACGATATGCAATTTATAGGGATGTGGGGGGGGTGCACGGTAAGGGGGTCTGGCCCACCGTGTATTATGCCACCCATGTAAATGAAGTGACATTTGTACAGTAGTACCATGATTTTTTTTTCAGAACTTTATGAAATAATTTGGTACCACTTCTGATTGATCAGTAATAACTGAGAATCCATAAACATGTCCCTATCCAATGACCAATAGCCAAGCAAGCCAATGCGTGCACATAACGCGCATTGCCTGGCAATCTGATAAACATTTATTTATTTAAATCCTACCGTGCCATTGAGACATTACGAGTTTTGAGTTGTTAACCATGACTACATAACTTCCTACTCCTGTAATGAAACCAAATTTTCTATTATAATGAGTAATGTTTCAGTTTGATTCATCTTTACGTCTTGTTCCACTCATCGTTCTGATGGCCTTACATGAGCGGGTCCCCTTCTTGCAAAGTTGTAGTGTGCTGTACCTACTGCTTCTTTCCACCCATACACAAATTCTTTGTTGTGTAAGTAATTTTCTTCTGTAATTAGCTGAGGGAAATCATTCTCTGTGAGCACATAGACATAGGTCATTCTCAGCAACCTAATAAACAGCAATTATTATGATAAAATAATTTTGAGTTTGTGTCCCAGTGCTAGGGGGGCTTTTAACTCTGGCATTAATCTTCCACCCTCTCCTATTGCCAGGAAAAAATCTCATACAGCCCTAAAGGCTAGGAAGAGAAGGCCAAAAAAAAAACAACAATCAAACCCCGAACAGCCCCATCTAGTATATAAAAAGTTTTAGGATTACATGAACTTTTCATACAATATACTTAAAAAACATCACACCACCCTCCTGGTTCTGAAAAATCCAAATGTATTATGTTTCTTGAGTTTTCCCTGAAAAATTCTAAAAAATAGTAACCAACGGCCAGCAAACTGAGCTCCGTTTTTTCAGCGAAGCTGAAAATTTAGAAACAGTATGTGAAAATTTCATAAATAACAAAATATATTTAAAAGCTGCATGTTTGTCTAAGGCATCACAAGATAGTGAGTATTAAACTGACGTGCTATAAATCTAGTTTGAAAGCCAAAATGTTCTGATATTAAGTAATCAAGATATATTAATCCAGATATCCATAATTCTAGTATTTTAGTATCTATGCATACTTATTTAAGTATGTATAGAAAAACACACCCAAATCAATTTCTTTTCAAAGGGAAATATATTATGAACTTTAAGTCAATCCTTGACTGTTCGGATTCAATCCTGACTCGGGATCCCATCTATGCTGTGAGATCTTGGCCCACTGAACAAACTGGACAAAATTATTAAAGCAAAGAGAAATCTAATTACTGAAATAAATAGTTAATGATAATAACCATTAAAATCACTGAATTGCTTTATTTAGTTACCCTGGAGTAGAGAAGGTCGATCTCTTGGTACAAATAGTAATATCACATTGAGCTATAAGTTGGCATCCACCAGCTGCAGCTATTCCATCCACTGCAGCAATGACAGGTACTGGTGTTTCAACTAGAGCCATCATTAACTTTGAACAATCTTGAAAGACACACCTACAACTTTTATCTGACTATTTACAAAATAAAACAGGTTTGTTATAAGAGTGAATGATGGATGAAAACTATATTTACATGCAATTCTTTAAGATTATGTCCAGCAGAAAATACAGGGCCCTTTGCAGATATGACAATACATCTCAAGTTCGTGTTAGTATTATCCTTAGTAACTGCTTCTGTCAATGCCAAAATCATATTTTTTGACAGGGAATTCCTAGGTAATAAACAACGAATATTGTAAATATAATGTTACTTTTTAAAAAACAAACAAAAAAGAAATATAATTGTAGTTAAACAAACCTTGTTTTTGGGTCATTCATAACAATTCGACGAATTCCATTCTGTTCTGTTATTTCCAAATTACAATGCATTGATGAACATTTACGGTGAGACAACTTGAAAGAGGAACATTTAAAATGACTCTGAAAATCCACATCTGTTTTTAATCATGGCTCAATGATTTAAGCGTCATTTTATAACTAAAAATGTTTGAAAATGAGACAAATACCTTAAAAATGGCTGGTATAAATTTTAAGCTCATGGTTGAATCCAATATTGTTTTCAGTGTACGGTCCTATTGTTATCTAATAATAGATAACAAGCAGCGCTCATAAAAACATAAGGTTACATTTTATTGCTGCTTAAAGTAACCAAAAAAATTCTAAACAAATATCAAAACCAGAGAGTGAGACGAAATAAATAAATGGGACGGAAATAATCGAAGGGTCGAGTACAAAAACGGTATATATAATATTTTTGAATTCTTAAAAACTGAATTCAAACAACCTGTATATGGCTGATGTTTATCGTCAATATAACCCTTGACAAGAGGCGAAGGCCAAAATAGTTATGCGAAGAAAATTGTCAATGTAATTTAAATGTTCCATCAAACTTTTCTATTATATCATTTTTGTGTGACAGACTGACACAACAAATTGACCTGAATCAAAAATGTCGGCCTTCCAAAGGCACATAAAAGGCCCCTTTTCCGGTTTTCTGTTCATATAAGAAAAACTACGCGTCCTAGCTAAGACATTCTGTACATAATTAAAGCTGATAAAATGTGCTACAATATTGATGATGTATATTATTTATCTATTTTGAGTAGTTTTCGAGATACTCATGCTAATATTCGGCAATTTGGAAAAATAAAAAAACTATTTTTGCCTCACGTTTTTATATTTGTTTGACTCTCCATCTCTTCATTCAACGAAAACGTCTTGAAGAAGAAAGTTGTTGAGCATTTAAGTTTCTTCAAGAATATTACTTTTCTATCATTTTTAATCATTCTAAACTTAGAGCAGTTATAATTTAATGTGTAAATTCCAAAAACTTATTTTGCATATTTATCGTTACTCTACTGCTCTAAATCTTTAATCAATCCAGCATTTACGTAGTTATATACAAATAGTATGAAAAGTGGCGGCCTTACACATTCGGCGCAATGACGTCATCTCTCCTATCCCTAAAAAAATTAAATTGATTTCGTAAGCTGTTTTTATTCTGTAATATTTGAATTTTATCTCAGTCAAAATTAATCTAATACAGTTACTTTATTGATTGGATAAAATTGATTATTTAAAAAACGTTTTGTATTTTTTTTTAATTTCTAACAATTGGCCGGCGCTCCGCGGCAACCGCAAGCATTGGGGCACTGAGTATGTACTATATATATTTGTATAACTTAAATGAGTAAGAAATATTTATTATATTCTTTATTTTCGGGTAAAGTTGTGCTTCTCTAAATATAACATCGTTTTATATTATTCTCAACCTTGAATGAACCAGTGGCGGATCCAGGAATTTTCTCAGGGGGGGAGGCGCACCTCTGTACCACGTGCTTCCCCCACCCCTGCCAGTTCCTCCACCACTACCCATCTTTCCCCACTCTTTAGCTGAGTTTAGTCGCTCAAAAGTCCTCTTTAAATGGTTTTAACAAAAGCAAATTCTATTTTTATTTAAAGTAAATTTTGTCTAGTTTACTGTGAAACTATGATTAATTACTTAAATTAAATAGTATTTTTTATTATAACTTTCTATTCAATAAAAAACGTGGCTTACATAAAAAATAACAAAACTTTAATTCCCTACTTTCCTACTAAAACTCGAACCATTGTTTATATAAACTTTTGTTGAGTTTTCTATCACTCCTTTAAATATTTTTCTCTACTTAGGAGACACCCTGTATATGGGTTAAGGCATGTAAAAAACTAAATTGCCAACATGGATCACCAAGAGGTAACTTTTTACAGCCAAAAATTCCAGATTTATCTGATTTTTTTTTCATGTATTACTACTAAACAGTGCATCAAAGCGAAAAACGTAGTATTTAAGAAATTGAAAAAGGTCATTCTGTGTTGAACGAGTACCTAAACTTAATAATTTCATTAAGCGATATGGTCGATAATCACGGTCAATGAAAGCTAATTTTTACAGATATTGTCAAAATCTGAGAAAGATTACTATAAATGGCCCTGCAGCTTGGAAATGAGTTCTATAAGAAAAAAAAAGCAGAATAATTTCCGATTCAAATTATAATCAGATTCCGATCAATTCGGAGACCAAATAATTATTACATTCCTTCATGAAAACGTTCCAAACAGCAACTATTTTAAGAAAAGAACAAAACTTTCTAATGAGAAATATACTAATTATTATCTTGTAGTTGCTGAAGTTTGCAATTCGTCCAGATCTATTGAAACTGAGAAAAAACTTAGTGGGAAAGAAAACCCGTATTTTCTTGTGCTCGAATAAAAGGTGGTTCAAAAGAAAAAATGTATTTCTTTTTTTTAAAATAAATTTTCCTTCATCCTGTATTTCACCTGCGAGACTCAGTTCGGAGTCAATAGGAACAAACTGGGAAAGGAGCACAAACCTTCACATTTCACAGCAGTCCAAAAACTACATTACTCTTTTCTTTAAATAGGTGTTTTCCTGGATCTTTTTTTGTCGAAATTATTTTTCTAATATCAGGAGGGGGGCGCGCCTCCTGGAAGAAATCACTAGTGCTGGTGATGATAATAACTTTTTTTTAATATATTATATTATTGTATTAACAGCAATTGGAGAGGTGAGCCTCTTGAGAGTATGTAAGTAGCTATGACCTTGATATTATTACAGGTTCTTTGATGCTCAGCCACCGCAAAACCCATTTGGCAGGTCTAGTCCACTGATCCTATTCTTAAATAAGTAACGTTCTTAAATTAAAATAGTATACGTTTGGTTTGGGCGGCTTCTTTTTCTTAAACACCTTGAGTGAAACCTTAGAGATGCCATAAGTCACCATAAGATTCCTACACTTGGTGCTTAACAGTGTTTTCGAATATCTCAAGAATCCCATAAAAATCATTCATTTGAATCTCACCTTCCTTTTTCTTTTCACTCTCACCAATCCTTTTCTCCATTTCTATTAATCACCTTCCTGATTCCATCCACCATTCACTATACCACCTGTATGGAAATGATCTTTAAATCTATCAGTCCTTTCATCCAATCGAGAAGCTGGGCAGCAAGCAATGGTTTGATGTTGAATGTTGAGAAGTCCAAAGCCATTCTCATTGGGTCCAAGCATGGTCTTTATTCTATCCGTTACTATCACCTACTCTACCTAAATGGACTACCTATTCGCTTCAACACTTCCGTTAGAAACCTTGGGGCAGTTTTTGATCAATACTTTTTCCTGGAATAGCCGTATTTCCCAAATTATCCGAAAATCTATTTATTAAAACTCTCAAAGTTTCTGATATTTCGTGATTCTATGCCTACTAAAACCTGTCATCTCCTTGTTTCCTCTCTCATTTTCTACACTTCGATTATGGATGCCTTATATTGAGATCAGATTAAAGAGATTAATAAATTGTTTCAATAGATTGATCTTTGGAGTCCCCAATTGACATGCCGAAATTGAAGTGGCTCTATCCAGTTTTCGGACAGCAATACTTCCTAGATGTATTCCTTTTCTGGAGCTTTATAACCAAAAAGCCATCTTACTTTCTTGATTTCTTTAATTCTTGTTCCTCTGTCTATTCATTAGACACCAGATCCCAGCCCACAAACCTATTTATTTCTCCTCATAGAACTGTTTCTTTTAAAAAATCCCTTGTCATGTGTGCTACCTTGTTATGCAATTCCTTACTCACCTTCATACGCAAATCCTCTTCATATTTTCATATTTCAAATAAAATTTTCATATTTAAAAGCTGTCACCCACATTCTACTGTTATCCTACAGATGCCTATATATTGTCTGTATCGCACAAATATGTGAACACATTCATATATGTTTATCTACAATTTAATATGTTACCTCATACACTATTATTTTTAATTTTACGGTTAGATGTTTCTTAATTATTTCATGCTTGTCTTCTAATGCCAGACAAATGTCACTTTTCTCTTCAATATAATTATTCTTAGTGAAATATACTTAGTGCCAGAATAAATTTACTTTTATTTCTTAAAAAAAAAGATTATCAGGGATAAATAAAAGAAGAAGTAGAAAAAATGGGTGTCAAAGAGGAAGACAACCAAGATAAGAACTAACGCTAAGTCAGGAAAATAGCGAAACACACAAAAGTTCTTGTAGTGAAGAAGAAGAAGTAAGAAATGGACAGATAGGAATTACAAATTTGGTTTATTATAAAAATAATATATTTATAACAACGGGTAACAAACACCATATAAATATTTAAATATGATTAAACATCAACATGTAGACTGGCATTCTTTGAGAAAATACATGGTTAGTATTCTTATCTTGGATACCAACTGTGTTTTTTCCTAGTTTGATTATGTGTCATATTTTTGCTACCAGGATGAAATCCTTAGTGCTTTTTGAGTATTACTTTGTCATAAAATTTTCTAACAGGTAACCTATCTTTTTAAAGATTTCATCTGAAAGAACTTAAAATGAATATGATTTATAAATCAACATTGAAATCTAAGAAGAAATTTGAGCTTGAGAATAGGCGTAAAGGCTGCCTCTTTCCAAAACATGGCACGTGTCGTCTTTCGAGGGAATTGAACAGTGAGTTTGCAAATTTTCAGGATCTCCCCATCCTCCACCTCCTGGAGTAAGTAATTCAAAAGTATCCTAAAACAATTAATATTGAATAGATTTATCAAATGAAATAAGTAACTTATGTAAATATCGCAATATATAGTATACTAAAATTATAACATAACATAGTGAAGGGTTAATAATACATGTAAATGGTAAGTGACCTACTAGACCCTAAGTAAGTTCAAAAAATAATTTTTTTTTTTATTAAAGGAAGTAGAGTTCCATAAGAGTATGTATTTAATGGTAATGATTGCTTGACTTTGGTCAAATTCTTATATATCCTATAGAACACAGGTAGTTGGTTTATTGAAAAAATAAAATAAAACAATAATTACACTTTTCATATATTTAAATTTTAAAGTACATAGTTTGCATTTTGATAATACTTTTCGATATCAAAACTCACTGAGTTAACAGAAGCCTTATTTAAAACAGTTTCAGAAAATATTTATGTTTTCATAATAATAAGCAAGTTTTTTTGTTTTCAACATAAATTTTAGAACAAGAAACATTAAGTCTGTCACTTATGGATATGAATCAAGTCTTATGACAGAGTTCTGGGAGAAAAACACAGTTTTTATAACCACTTTATGAAAAACGTTTAAAAAATCATTATTTTTAATTTTTTTAAATAAATAAAAGTCACTAAAACAGGAGAAAAAAATCACTACATTTTTATACACAACTTGAGGTGAATCTTTTCACCTAATAGACCTCAACTTAATTAATATGTTCTCAACTTTTTAATTAATTGTGGATTGATGGTTGACTGTTGTGGATAATTGAAGAGAAGATAGGTTGGGGTGATCAGTCAAAAAAAAAATATATATATATGAAATAATAAATTAATATTTTTATTTATTATTTTTTTAATAGTGAATAAATATGCTTATTTATTTTTACATTTTTTTTTTACTGATCACCAATCGTTTCTTCAATTATTTTTAATTTTTTTAGAACAGATTTTAGCTTAATTTAGACCCTCAAAAGTCCTCTTTAAATGTTTTTAAGAATGGCAAAACTTATTTTAATTTAAGTAAATTTTGTCTATTTTACAGTGAAGCAATTGTTAATTACTTAAATTAAATATTTCTTTACTTATTGCTTGCTATTCAACAAAAAACATGACACTTAAAAACCACAAAACTTGGATTTCCTACTTTTCTGCTGAAAATAGGCTCATTATTTATACAAACTTTTTTGAGTGAGGTCTGCAATTACTCCTTTAAAAATTTCCTTCTACTTATGGGACACTCTGCATATTAAATATACATATAGGGAAGTGAAGGTTTATACTTACCCCTGCCTCAACAGGAACTGATGTCTTGGGCCCAAGGTAAATTATACGTCCATCCTTTTTGTAGATTAAGTTTCTACCTCTTGCACCAGGCTGGCCACCTGTTGTTCAGATATGCAATAATAAAAAAATAAAAAATAATCAACAAAAAATAAAAAAAATAATTGTTTGTACTTCGT